CCGCCCGCGGCGGCGCGAGGTGGGCCCGGCCCGGCGCTGCCCTCGACAGCGGCAAGTTTGGGAGTTGCACTAGTTTGCGGGGTGGGGGAGAGGCCGGGCGGGGGGCCATGGAGGAGGACCGGGGGTCGTCGCTGGCGGCCGAGTCGGCGCTGGAGAAGAACGTGGCGGAGCTGACCGTCATGGACGTGTACGACATCGCGTCGCTCGTGGGCCACGAGTTCGAGCGGGTCATCGACCAGCACGGCTGCGAGGCCATCGCGCGCCTCATGCCCAAGGTCGTGCGTGTCCTGGAGATCCTGGAGGTGCTGGTCAGCCGCCACCACGTCGCGCCTGAGCTGGACGAGCTGCGCCTGGAGCTGGACCGTCTGCGCCTGGAGAGGATGGACCGCATCGAGAAGGAGCGCAAGCACCAGAAGGTGGGCAGCGACCCCAGTATGCCCATCCGGGGAATGGGGCCGCTGGGACCCAAGGGCCCTTCAGCATCCCGCAGCTGTAGGCGCACACGTTTGTGTATGCAGAGACTAGACGAGGAGAGACCCGACTGGATGAGAGAGGGAGGGAGGGAGGCCCCTGGCCCTCTTTTGTCCAGCCAGAGCCACCTGGCATATGCCACCTCAGAGATTAGGGCAGTCCTTTGGAGTCAGACCTGAGTTCCAGTCCCACCTTTACCGTCTAATAGCTGTGTGACCTTGGGTAAGTTACTTAACCTCTCTGTGCTTTATTTCCTCGCATGTCAAATGGTGATAGTAATAAGACCCACCTCATTAAGAATTAAGTGTGATGTATCTAAAGCGCATAGATGATATTATTTTCCAGAAATGAAATAAGCCCTCTGCCCTTCAGTCAGGCCCCTTTCTTCTTCTCATCCCCAAACCCCCCGTAGCAAAGGGGATGTGACCTCCAGCCACCCAGCTCATCAACCCCCAGACTCTGGGTTTCTATTTGCGAATTGTTCCCAGAATTCCTTCTAATTTATGAAACTGAAGTGCTTTCCCCTCCTTGATTTTATCTTTAATCTTCACAGAACTCTCAGAGGCAGGAATTATCTTCGTTTTACAAATGAAGAAAATTGGGGGAGGGGGGATTTGCCCCAAATTAGTGCTGAGAGAATCCCAGGGCAGTGGAGGTAACTCTGGTGCCTCTTCCCCACCCGGGGGATAGGACACGATTTGGGGCAGCTTTAAGCTAAGCCTCTGCCCTGTGAACAAGAATTCCTCGGAGTGCATGAATCAGGGCCTCTCTACTGGACTGGGAGTCTAGACAAGGCCCCTGGGGAAAAGGAAGTGGGAGATGTGTGGTTTCCTGCCCCAACCTCAGGCCAGGGAAGCTTCTGTCAGACCCTTTGGACAGAGAATAGGAGGAAACGCCTTTCCTAGGAGCAATCAGGGTGCCTGAGGGGGCTCTGGCTTGCTGTGTGGCCTCAGGAAATGTACTTGGCCTCTCTGAACCTCTCTGGCAGGCCATAACCTATTGTGTTTCAAGGAAAATAACCCAGGCTGTGTATGTAGTCTTAACCTGGGGGCAGAACTGCCAGTGGTTAAGAGCACTAGTGTTTGGGAGGTTTGACAGTGTTTGTCCTCATAGGTCCCTGTGCCCTGAGGTCAGGAAGGAAACTCAAGCTCCCAAGTGTTAGGCAACATTTCCAAGATCATACTCGGAGCTTGAAAATGCCCCAGCCCTGTAATTCATGTCAAGTTCCCAGGGACTTTGGAGCCAGACAGCCTGGCTTCACACCCTGCCACTGTGTGATCTTAGGCAAGTCAGCTCACCTCTCTGTGCCTCAGTTTCCTCAGCTGTAAAATGGGGATAATAGTACTCATCTCATAGGGTTGTGGTGAGAATTGAAGGGTTGGTTAATTTCCATAAAGTGTTTGGGACAAGGCCTGGCCCATTGTGAGGGCCTTACAAGTGTTAGCTGTTGTCTTTAGGCCTGGATAGGCTTTCAGTGAGGTGTTCGTGGTCCGATACTGGGGACCCCACTCCCAATCTCTTTTAGAGAGTCAGGGGGAAGGATCTTTGAAATCCCCTCGTGTGGCTGCCAAGGGGCTTAGCCCGGGTCACACAGAAGTCCCAGCGCCTCTGTTCCCACCCTTGACGTTGGAATTCTGCAGCAGCTGGGCTGGGGGACATCCTTGGGAGCCATCGGAGGCCGCTAGGCTTGGAGTCAGATGGCATTCCCAGCCAGCTGCACTTGTCACTTCTGGACCGCCGTCAGCCAGGAAGTAAACCCCAGCATGCTCAGAGCTGAGGCTTGTTTGTAAACACTGAGGATGATCTCTCCTAAATCAGAGGGCAAAACCCTCTTCCCATCCCAGCCCCTTGTTTACTTTTCTTTGTATTCTTGGGATCAAGAGAGACTTCTCTGGGTTTTTTTTTTTTTTTTCTTGTGTTCTCAAAGGCTCTTCAAGGTGTTATTTCCACAAAAATCTTCCTAACATGTCCTTGGTCTTATCAGTTTGTTCATTCCTCCCTCTTTTTTCTGCCTCATCCCCCTCCCTCTCTCTCTCTCAGCACAACGCATGCACCCTGTCTTCCGCCAACTCCTCCCCTGAGCATACCCCCCCCCCCCCCCCCCCCCCCCCCGCCCCCAGATTTAGTCAGTTCTGCTCATCATACAGACTCGGGCCACAGTCTTGACATGTTCTGTCTATCTGGTTACTCAGTCTGCAACCCCGTTGATGGGCCACAGCATGCAAAGTGCCCTCCTAAGTGACATGGGCAGTGCAGAGACTAGGAAAGCTGGATCCTCATCTCAGGCAGTGGGTGGGTAACTGGGAAGACAAGAAAAATACCAACAGGCTTAGAAAGCAGTGGCTGTGCGGATACAGTTGTCTATATTGTTAACAGGATATGTTGTTCATTTGCTCGTTCAACAGATGTATTTATCCAGCACCTGCTATGAACTGGGCACTGTTCTGGGCACTGGGGAGACAGCAGTGACCACAGTAGATGAGGTCTTTGGACCTGACTTTCTAGTGCAGGGCTGTCCATAGAAATATTATGTGGTGGGGGGTGGGGGATGCCCGGGGTGGCTCAGTTGGTTAAATGACTGACTCCTGATTTCAGCTCAGGTCATGGTTCATGAGATCGAGCCCCGTATTGGGCTATGAACTGACAGTGTGGAGTCCGCTTGGGATTCTCTTGTCTCCCTCTCTCTCTGCCCCTCCCCGACTCGTGCGCACACACTCACTCTCTCTCTCAAAATAAATAAATAAACTTAAAAAATAATATTATGTGACTTGTCACGTTAATAAAAAGACACAGATGAGGTTAAAAAAATTTTTGATATCTTATCAAACCAAGTCTTTGCAAAATATTATTTCTGCATGTAATCAACATAAAAATTATTTTTTATTGAGACATAATTGACATATAACATTGTATTAGTTTTAGGTTACAGCATAATTTTTTTAAATGTAATTTTTTTAAACGTTTATTTATTTTTGAGACAGAGGGAGACCGAGCGCGAGTGGGGGAGGGGCAGAGAGAGAGGAAGACACAGAATCTGAAACAGGCTCCAGGCTCCGAGCTGTCAGCACAGAGCCCGATGCGGGGCTCAAACCCACGAACTGTGAGATCATGACCTGAGCCAGTCAGACGCTCAACTGACTGAGCCACCCAGGTGCCCCGCATAATTTTTAAAAAATGTTTATTTTGAGAAAGAAAGAGAGCAGGGGTGGGGCCTAGAGAGAGGGAGAAAGAGAGAATCCAGAGCAGACTCCTTAATGCAAAAGCAGAGCCTGATGCAGGGCTCGATCCCATCTACTGCAAGATCACGAGCTGAGCCGAAATCAAAGAGTTGGACGCCCAACCAACTGAGCCACCCAGGCGCCCCTAGGTGTGCAGCATAATGATTTGATATTTATGTGTATTGTGACATTTACCATCCATCACCTCACATAGTTACTCAAATAATTATTAAATAGGTATTTTGCATTTTTTCCCTATGTCTTTGAAATCTGATGTGTGTTTAACCCTGTTGCACGTGCTAGTTCAGACCAGCCACAGTTCAAGTGCTCAGCAGCCACATGTGGCTTGTGGCTACTCTATTGGATGGTGCAATTCTAGTGTAAGGAGATAGGTATTTTTTAAAGTTTTAAAATTTTCGGCTTGTGATAAGTGCCATGAAAAAAATAAAAGACTGATACGAAAGAGACTGACTAGGATGGGACAGTCAGGAAGGCTTCCCTGAGGAGGTGACATCTGGGCTGAGATCGGAATGAAGTGTGGGTACCCTCCACAGAGAGAGCTGGGGGAGAGGCGTCCTAGGCAGACACCACAAGTGCAAAGGCCCTGTGGTAGGAACGGGCTTGGTGTGTTCAAGGAACACAAAGAAGGCCAGTATGGTTAGAACAGAGTGAGTAAGGAATACGGGTGGGGGATGAGGTCAGGGAGGTGGACGGGTCTGATTATACTGGACTTAGTAGGCCCACATAAGGAGTTTGAAGACTATTAGTCCTGAGAAGGCAAAGGAGGCGATCAATCAGGGGTGACTTCCTGGGAGAGCCTTTTAGCTGGTGTGGAGGCAAGATTAAATTTGCTGCGGTCAGCTCAGAGGCAAGAGCCACATGCTGCCCTGTGCCCCCTTTGAGGGAAGGAAAAAAACCACCCTGAGGGTTAAAGTCTGTATTCATCTATTGCTGCTGTAACAAATTACCACAAACTTACTGGCTCGAGGTAACACAGTTTTGTTAGGATAATGCAGAATATGCTATTTATGGGTCACATCAATACGGATAATGCTGGATAAAACTCTGGAGCTCAAAAATCAGAAAAGGGTTTCGCTGCGTTAAAACCAAGGTGTCAGAAAATTCATTTCTTCTGACAACTTTCAGGGAGAATCCACTTCCTTGCCTTTTCCAGCTTTTGGAGGCCACCGCGTTTCTTCGCTTTTGGCTCCTTCCTCCACCCTCACAGCCAACAGAGTACTGTTTTCAAATCTCTAGCTCTGACTTCTGTCGCCACATCATCTCTGACTCTGATCCTCCTGCCTCCCTCTTTCGCCTGTGAGGACCCTTTGATTACGTTGGGTCCGCTGGATAACCCAAGAGACTCCCCATCTCAGGGTCCTTAACTTAACACCTGCCAAATTGCTGCGTGAGGTCACATAGTCTCGGGTTCCAGGGACTGGGATGTGCACGTCTTTGGGGGCCGCTGCTCTGCCTACCGCAGTCAGTTACACTTGACCGTTGCCCACTGGGACCCTCTGTGCTCAGCCTGTGCCAGATGCGAGCAGGGAAGAACCAGCTAGAAGAGCCTGTCTCTGCTTCCGGCCCACACCTGCGCGTGGGAAGGCCGCATGCCTGCTCCATCATTCCACCACCGCTTCCGCCCTCTGGCCCTACCCTTCACCTCCCTTGGTGACCTTGAACAGCTGTGCGAATACTTAGTTATTACCTCTCATTGCCCCAGTGCAGCAGACTTCCTGACAAAGGAGATGGGGATTTAGGAATGTATTTAAAAGATGAACGGAGGCCGTGTTTACCCGGCCTAGGGCCGGCTTGTGACAGGCTGTAGGAGGAACAGAAACCGGCAAACACATCTTTAGCATTTTCTGGGACCTGGGCACCATTCCAACCATTGACATAATCCTCATGACAGCCCTCAGAGGTAGATATGACACTATTTTCCACATTTCCAAGACACCCAAAGATTCAATAACTTCTCGAGCATCAGCTAGTAAGGGGCAGAAACAAGATTCAAACAGGCCAACAGGCTTCGGTATCTATGCTTTCAACTGGCATTATGTCCCGCAACAGTGACCGTGCTCTGTTTAGTTTCTGGTTTTACAGCAGACTTTTTTTTTTTAACGTTTATTTATTTTTGAGAGACAGAGA